GAAACTCTCCCACACACAAGGCACAAGCCCATTCTCTAGAGGATACCAGCAGGTTCAGATTCAGAAGCCTCCCATGATCCAATATATTGTATGTAGAATCCAGGAGAAGGATTCAGATACTTTAAGGGTGCCATTTATTCTACAGACATGCTAATGACCCTACACACAACATGCTGTCTGCTGAAGAACCAGTTTGATGAGGAATAATAAAAGGCATACCAACAAATATATTGGAGACAACAGCACGAGCTGCCTGGTAGCTCTGCAGAGCAGAACAATACAAAGGAACACAAGAGATGTGTATTTGAAGCCCCACTTGAGGAGACAGCCACATGCACTGGTGTAAAGGTTTTGTCAGTTCAACCGTGGCACTACATTGGCATAGATTCCCTCCAGCTGTGGACTCCATCCATATAAGGGGACGTAGGACTGATCCGATCCCACCCCACAGGGGATAGGGATTGCTCTGAAGAAGTAGCACATCAACAATAAAATATAGTTAAAAATGTTATTCTTATTAAGAAGAAACTTGCTGGACTATCTAGAAGTCCATTTAGGAGTATTTCTAGAAGCATCCTTCAGGTCAACAACCATCACCTGCTGTTTCTTCTTAGCATCTGATATTCACAGACATAAAAGGCAGTTGGTTATGATTGTGGTTATAAAGTGGACTGTTTCAGTTTTTCTCATTCCCACAATTCAGATGCCTAGAGAGTATTACATCTCAAGTTGCTCCCTACTCCCTGCTGGCCCAAACTGATCACAGGATGCTGGCTGGGCTGTTCATTGTGCATGGTTTGTTGTTCGGGGCTTAAGGAGGGGGGAGCTGCCTTTTCTTCTAGGCACAGCCTATCCTCCTGAATATATATTACTTACTAGCATAGGAGCGGCAATCTATAATAAAACCCGTATAAAACAAAGATCTTACCAATGTACTCTGTTTAGACTTCCTCCAGAGTTATAAAGTTCCCCTTTTTAGAATGAGTTTGCTGGAATCCAAGGATCCGAATGAACCAATGTGAAATACAGCCCGAGACAATGAACAGGAAAACAGTCCAGACTAGTGTCTTGTGAGCAGAAGCTTAAGAAGTTAATGAGTGTTGGAAAATTAAACTCTCTCTCTCTCTCTCTCTGCTATGCAGCAGACAAAACAAGGAGGCCAGGGTCAAGGAATGAGTTTGTTTGTGAAGGCAAAGAGCAGCTGAAAGGAACCTACTGAGTATAACCACCAGACCATGACTTAGGCCCTCCCCTATTTCCTCCTAGCATCTGACATTCAGAGCTATAGATTAGATGGCTGTAATTCTGGATATAGGGTACCCTGTTCTGCTGTTTCTAATTGCCACAGTCCAGATGTGTAGGGTTTTTTATTCCATTCAGCTTCTCACCCTCTCTGGCCACAAAGGTAACAGGGACCCGCAAGGACTGTTCAGTATTTGTGGCTTGTTTTCTGTAACCACCAAAATGCTTCTAGTTCTTGTCTAGAAAACTACTCCACAAAGCCTAGTCTTAACTAGTCTGTGAATAAAACAGGAATGAGTCATGCCACCAAAGGTGCCTACAAACAAGGCTTCTGCAACAAAATTAAACAAAAAATGACAGAATAGTCTTGCACAGGAAAAGCTTGACACTGCCAGTGCTGATTAAAAAAAAAAATCAACTGCAAAACAATCATTTGAGTGGGTTCATTGCTGCAATGCTATTTACAGTTCCCAGAAATCCAAAACCTTCTGTAACATAGTAACAGTTGTGCTATTTTAAGCTTGCAATACAGTGTGAAAAAAGGCCACGTGGCCCTGCATGGCATATCTGCTGGTGTTGATAAATGAGATGTCTTCTCAGAAATATCAAATAAATTGGGTGACCTCAATAAAAGAAGGGTGACCTCATATGCACAATAGACACTGTGTAGAGAAGGGAATGCTATATTCAGCACCCATGTGGCTATAGCACCCTGACTTGCAGCTGGCCTTGGCCACTGAAGGGAGCACTGGCGAGCGGCAAGCCTGGGAGCAGGGCCACCACCCCCTGCAGCCAGCCAACCACCCCATCCAGGTATTGGAGGCAGAGAGAGACAGAGGAACCTAATAAAAAGTAAACAGAAAGGGGGAGCAGAAAACTACTTGTGTATACTATACAAGGTTTCCTATCTGATTTCAAAATCCTTACCATCACTTTCCTTCACTTTCTTTGCTTTCCTTTGGCTTCTGTAAAAACAGGGCAGCAAGCCATTCATACCCAAGAGGGCTTTCTGACCTCTTCTGAGAATTCAGCATCCATTTTGGTTTCCCTGGCAATAGCAACTGTTGGTAGGAAAGGGGGAAGGCCAACTGGCTGTCCCGTGCACATTCAAAACCTTTGCCTAGCAATCAGCCTCAGCCCAACTTACACAGTTTTGGCCAGGTGGCAGCTCTTGTCAAATATTTTCTTTTCAGAAAGGAATCTCAGAAAACCAGCATCCCTGTAATCTAATTTGGGAACAGCAATAAATCTAGATATCTATCAGTATTTAGTAAATAACTTATCTTTGAAATACCAGCACAATTTGTTTATTTTTCTAATCAGCAATATTGAGCTTCTGATTCTGAGTATACCTTTTCCTTGGTGGACTTCACAAAATGTGAAGTTTGAATGAACTGAAACAAAAATTGGCATCTCTTTCTAGTATTACTTTGTTCCTTGATTCTGTGCATTTCATTTCTTTTATTTATTTATATCCCATCTTTCTCCCCAAAGAGGAACCAATAAAAAATAAAGTACAATAATACAAAACAATTGAGCAGGAGGACTGGGGAGAAGTCTTCTAAATACAGAGCATTTCTCTCTCTCTCTTTTTCTTTCTTTCTGCTAGGAGATCTTCACTTACAGAGTAACTGCAGTCCTAAGCAGGGTTGTACCCTTCCAAGCTCACTGACTTCAATGGACTTAGGATATAACTCTGCTTAGGCTTGCACAGCTCATGCAGAAGGCAATGCAACTGAAGGTCAGGATAACGAAGAATCAGAAGTTACGTGTACAAAGGCCTTACGCCTACGTTGCATCCCACGGATTCATTCCTCTATCCGTGGTGCTTTCCTTCTGTGCAAGCAGTCATCCTCTGTTGTAAGAGGTTCTTCCCCCGAAGAAAGAATCTCTTGCATAAGGAAAGACTCCATGTGGCAAAGAAAAGCACCACTGTCGCCAGAATAGATCCATAGCATCCAACCCTATTATTGTAAAGTGTTGGGGTTTTTTGGCCCCCCGGAGGGGATTTTTTATTGCATTTTTTTTAATAGACTACAAACTACAACGAAAAATTGGGAAAGGGTAACTACATCTAGGGAGAAAGGAAAGAAAACCACTAATAACTATAACCCCAAGAATAGGAGATCATAACAACAGCTTATATCAACTTTAATCTTAAATTGCTAGTATTACTTT